GCTCCCTGCTCGGCGGGGAGTCTGCTTCTCCCTCTGACCCTCCTCCCTCTCATGCTCTCTGTCTCTCATTCTCTCTGTCTCAAATAAATGAATAAAATCTTTAAAAAAAAAAAAAAGAAGAGTAAAATATCTGACATGAAAAGCTGTACTATGTGACAATGAATAAACCAGTGTCTTATAGCTAGCATGAAACACAACAGTAATAAAGGCAAATCATGGAAAAGGACTTTATGAAAAAAAGCACATCTATTCAAATCACAGCAATAAGAAAACATAATAGACATTCTATAATTATGAAAATCTGAAATAATGTAAAAGATAAATTATGGAAGGACTGATTTATAAAAGGACTCTCTACTCTTAGAAAGAATTAATAAAAAGTTCCTTAATTATAAAACTTTAAGATATGATTTGTAAGTTTTCAGCCATACATTATGTAAGGTAAATGTGAACACTGCTTTTGTTTTTATTATAAAAGGGTATTAGTTGTTAATATACCACTTTCCTACAAGACACAGCATCCAATGTTATACCCTGGTAGGAAAGGCATTAATCATAAATGTGAGTATTTTAAAAACTCTGAAATGTGGGTCTCCATTACTGAATATTTGTGTTAACTTCCAGATCAGATGGAAACTAACACGTATTTTATATCCTAGCACAATTTAATAGCCCTCCTTTAAACCATTTATTTCTTTATTTTTAAATTTATTTTTTGGAGAGGGAGAGAGAGACTCTTAAGCAGGCTCCATGCCCAGTGCAGAGCCTGACGCTGGGCTGGATCTCACAACCCTGAGATCATCACCTGAGCCAAAATCAACAGTCGGACGCTCAACCGACTGAGACACCCAGGCGCCCCTAATTTAAACTTTTTAAAAATCTATGATTTAATGTTTGGTTTTTTCGTTTTGTTTTTCTTACCGCTGGTGCAGTTGAACACACTGGGGAAGATTTTGCTGATGCAGAAAACTCCTCCCAGAAGAGAGATACTCCGGAGAGCTGGAGTAACTTGTGAGCAAAGGCTGTGGGCTGATGCACATTAATTCCTGAGGCCTCATCAGCAGCTTCATCACAGTAGACAGTTCTCAAAGTTCAAAACAAAAAGCGCTGGCATAAAACTCCTAAGAAAGCCTACTTGCAAGTCTAAAACACACATAGCTTTTTAAGGTCAAGAGTTTTTCAAGTGTTAGCACTTAGAAAATGCCTAGAATGTGGTCAGCATTAATGCTTTACTACAGGAAATGTTTTCACCAAGAGACCTCAGCCTCAAGAAGGATAATTTTATGGGGCTCCTAAACTGGGAGAAAAGATTAATACCTTCCTAAAGTTAGCCTCAAGGAAAGCAATTCCTGTGCTCTCTCACAAACATCTCTTAGTAACAGTGAGACAGCATTTGGCTCCAAGTCACAAGTCTGCAATGAATGACATTTTTTAAATTCTTATGACTATTCTATGAGTTCTTATGACTCACTTCATTTTCAACAAAATACAGAATGTAGTTCTACATGCATGAGATTTTAGATACTTTTTAATATACCATTTCAGGTAACACAACCTAATTTCAAAAATCTGCTAACAATAACTGTTTCACTAATAGGTAATTTTATGAAAGACAGAAACCGTAACATATCTGCTTAAAATTTCGTAAAAGTCCCCAAAAGTTCCCTATACAAAGTGTCTTTGGTGCTCAGTGCAATTCTGCCTATTTCTATCACGTTAAGACACAGGTGAACAGTAACTACCTCAAGGGCAACCCTCTCGGGTCCCCTCCTTCTTTGGGTGCTTTGTACTATCTGTACATTACTGTACTCTCAATAAACTTTGCTTTGGTGCCCACCAAAAGAAAAAAAAAAAAGTGACTACCTCAAATCGACACTCAGCTATTTATAAGGCTCCAAGTGGGCATACACAGAAAACTAAGTCCTGGTTTCTATCTATTTAAGTAAATTACTATCACACAGATACTCTCACAGAATCCTCTCAAAGAAAACTGCAGACTTAGCCTTTCTCGTGAAAGCAGCACTCAGATCAAGCACCGGAAAGCAAAGAAGCCCCTCGCATTAATGAGACACGCCAAAACAGGACATCGCTCGTATGAAAAAACTCCAACAGGAGTGCCTTAAATTTAGCAGCACTCACATATTCATGATTTTTATTTGGTATTAACTAAAAGAATCATTTGCTTTGAATTCCACACAGTATTATATATAATTATACCTCAAATGGTACTTTAAGTTTTCAATAAAGGTATTAGAATGTATCTTGGAGAGCAGAGCTTTACTCTGAAAACATACAATGTAGTAACTCAATAGCATCACTTCTAACCTCTAAAACCATCATGAAATCTAATGAAAGTCAGATCTTACTATTTATAAAAAAAAAAAAGAATAGGGTCATTTATTCTCAGATATAAGAAGTCTTACCTTTCTATTCGAATTTCAAGTGCAGTTCCAGTTTTGGAATTTTCTGGCACGTGTTCAATTCTCAAGACAGTGTCTATAAAAGTGACTTTTACTCTTCTTAGTACTAGAGTAAACAGGTAACCATCAATATGAGACCACATGTATACTAAATAAAAACTTCTAATGAAAGGTATATATAGTAGCTTAATAAGAACTTACAAAATAAACTGGTATTTCTTTCCTTAAAAATCCCAAAATCTTGAGTTTGGTAATAAACATTTTGCCTTACTGAGCACCTAACAGATACCTGAGCAATGCCCAACACTCTCTGCTGACCTCTAAACCCTTCATTACACAAGCATAATAAAGGAAAGAGAAAAAAAAAAAAATAGGGTACAGAAGGACGTGAAATTAAATTGAATATTTAAAATAACCTCAATTCTAAAGTTCTGAAGAACAGTAATGCCTTTAAAAAAAAAAAATCACTCCAATGGATTTTCCTTATACAAGGCTTACTAAAGAAAGGTACTAAATTACTAATAAAAAAAAAAAAAAAACTAAAATTTTTGAAAATACTCCATAATGCCAAACCTGTTTCAATGGTTTCAGCAAACTTTTCAAGTCCTTCAAAAGGCTGCGATGCTTCTCCTTGTTCATCTGTTAATTTCTGGCTAAGACATTCTTTTGCCAATTGCATACTGCTGGTCATGAAACTTGACCAATACATAGGTTCAGAACCAGTTGCTGCAGAAGATATAGATTAATCCTAAATAACTTCTTATAGTTACAACAAAGCAATTTCTTAAAATGCCACATTTGAAATATATTCTTAACCCTCCAAGAGATATTTAACATCAGGGTGTTACCTAGGCATATGGTATTCTAGAAATTACTCTTGAGATTTAAACATCACCTTACAATAAATAACAGAGAAGAAAAAAGAAAAAAAAAAATCACAGAAAGAAGTCCAGAGACGTGCTCTCATTAAATGATATGTATCTGTCAAATGTTAATTCATGAATTCATTAAACAAGTATCTAATGCATGCATGGTACTGTTCAAAATACTGTAGAACAGGGGTCAACAAATTTTTTTGGTGAGGGTCAGATAGTAAATAGTTTAGACCCTAGAGCCTCTACCCTGACTACTCAACTCTCTCACTCTAGTGCCAAAGCAGCCAGAGAGAATAAGGAAATGAATGAGTACGGTAGTGTTCCAATACAAATTTATTTACAAAAATATGACAGATCAAATTTGGCCTGCAGGCCATAGTTAGCGGACCCTGCTGTAGGGGACAGAAAAATAATGATTAATTCTGCCCTCTGAGAGCCTACAATATATGGAAGAAATGAGATGTGGTTAAGAAGAATTAGTAAGCAACTACGCAATGTCAACAGAAAACACTGACAGCTAAATCAAGAGGTTAATTCTTCCCACAGACAGAATTTAACAGAAATCTGGTAGAGGTGGCTTCTGACCTAGGCTTTAGAAGGTCAGTATAAATGTAGATAAAACAGAAGAACATCCTTGGAGGAATCCATGAACTGGGAAAAACCCTTTCCAGATCATCCCTCATCAAAGAATTGCACTACACTTCCTTCCGTTATTCAAAACAAACAGATTACTAGAATCACTGCCTTCCAAAATGGAATTTAAAACCCTTCTCATGGAATATTTTTAAAGGCAGAATATTTGACTTTCCATAGGAAAATATTATTTTAGCCATCATGGTTAAAAACAAAATACTCTTGTTAATTAAATGCCATTATCAAGGAGGATTTCCATGCACAGACTACCAATTTTCAAAGTACAGGTGCTATTAATTCTAGTAAAAGCATAATTTAAACTTTGGTGTTCCAGACAGCACTTAGAATTGTCATTCTTCAAGTATATCTTGACCAACATCACTTGTCACTCAAAGAATTTAAATTCAGAATTTAAGATGATTTAGATCATGACTCTATCGGCTTATAAAATACACACACACACACACACACGCACGCACGCACGCACATACTCCAAGGTAGAAGATCTGAGCTATAACAGAACACAGTGGTTAAGAACATGGACTCCAGAACTAGACTCCCTGGGCTGAGATCCCAACTTTCCACTTAACTAGCTATGACCTTGGACAAGTCTACCTGTGCTTCAATGTCCTGCTCCATAAAATGAAGACAACAAACCGTATCTATTTCAAAGAGCTATGGTAAGATAATATTGGTGCACTCACAACAGCATCTGGCATGCAAGAAGCACTATATACATGTTTGATACATCAGAAAACAGCATACATATAACTAAAGCTACCACACGGATACACTTATAAATAATAACTTACTACTACTTTAAAGTTTTTCCCTCCCAAACTTTTCTTTTGAAAATTTTTAATCCTGGGCGCCTGGGTGGCTCAGTCGGTTAGGCGACTGCCTTCGGCTCAGGTCATGATCCTGGAGTCCCGGGATCGAGTCCCATATCGGGCTCCTTGCTCAGCTGGGGGTCTGCTTCTCCCTCTGACCCTCCCCCCTCTCATGTGCTCTCTCATTCTCTCTCTCAAATAAATAAATAAAATCTTTAAAAAAAAAAAAAAGAAAATTTTTAATCCTAAGGAAAAGGTGAAAGAACAGTATAATGAACAACTGCGTAGCCTTCCCTTAGATTCGTCACAACTATATACACACACGCAAATACACACACACTCTTATCCTTTTGCTGATCTATCTGAAGGTAAACTGCAGGCATCATGACACTCAGTCCTGAATACTTCAGCAGATAACTCCTGAGAATACAAACACACCACGCAAAAGCTCAGTAACATGAGCACACCCAAGAAATGTAACACTGAGGGGCGCCTGGGTGGCTCAGTTGGTTGGGC